ATGTATGTATATATATATATGTATATATATATATATATATATATATATATATGTATATATGTATGTATATACATTGATATACATTTCCAATGTTTAAACTATTTTTATCTTCTGGGTGAAAGTTGAATGTTTAGTTGCAGTCAGCTGTGTAACCCTGTTGATGACCAAATTAAAATAAAAGGAGGTACGGTAAATGAGAGCCAACTCAGTAGTTAAATGTCAGCATCAATAACGAGGCTTTTTATTTTTTCATTTTGTCTCGTTTGTCTTAGAAATTGGATCTAAAGCTCCCACCAAACTTTGCACTTCGACCTCGTTACCAACGGAGACCTTAAGGTGAGTCAGGACATGGTTTAGTTTTTGTTCTTACCCGACTTCACACCAGTGGCGATTATAGCCTCTTTTTAGGGGTGCTCAAGCCCCTCTAAATTTTAACTCAGCACCCCTGAATAATTAAGTTAAATTTATTTATTTATTTATTTATTTGGGATGTTCTGGGTTTGGGTTCTTTTTGTTGCATTTATGATTCAATGCAACAAAATACGTAAATGTAAAAGGTCACAGATCATTGTAATACTTGGTTTATTTACATAATAACTTTAATTGCTGGATGTCCGCCTCCTGAGCTGCTGGCTTTCAGAAACTGTGGCCCCCTGAGCAGTTTAGTTGAATAGTCCTGCTTTAGAGGGTGGAATTCAGTTTATTGAATACAACAATGATAAACAGGAAGTACCGCATGTTCATCTGTACGAAGGTAACTGCAAGTAAATTCTCTGTTTTTGTCATAATTACACTGTCCTGTATGCTTAATGGTTAAATTAAAAGTTAACGTTTAAAGCTAGTTGTGTTTTGATTTGGGTGTTTTGCATGTAGATATATGTTGCAACTTCTGGTTGCATAAGTTTAGTCTTTTTTATTATCAGTTAAAACTAAACGGATTTTGTACAAAGTGTTTATTAGGTTGTGTGATATAAAACAGAGTGCTACGTCTGTAGCATCTTAGCTAGCGTGTCTGTATTGCACGTCGCTAGCTTAGCGCTACTTCTTGTTGTGCCAAGCTCCCGAAAATAGTTATTGAATCAAGTGTTTATTTATGTAAGTAAATCTAGATGTTTAACAACCCGTTAAAATACACAAAAATGCAGGAAATGGCATCTACTTGATTATGAATGCATCTCACGCCAATGGCCACCATGTTGTTCAAGCCAAGAGCCATTGTCACCACTGGGGGCTAAGGCCTCCTAAAGGGCAGATTCTAGAATTGCCCCTGCTTCACACAGTAGAAGTTGGACAAGAAAAGAGAAATTTTTACATATGTAAAGACAACTGTGTGATTAAATCTTATTTAAACAGGCAACGAGTGAAGTCAACCAAAATAAATAGAGCAATGCCTCTCATATCTGTATATGAGCGTTTACCAGAGTGCCTTATTTTTTATGCTTTAAACCTGGAGACGCCTGGAACAGCTTATCTTAAGACACTTTCATGTTCCCGTAGAATTAGAGTCGTAATTCCTCCTTTAGGAACACCTGCTCTGCATTAGTCCATTGGCTGTTTTCACATCCTTCAACTTGCAGTAACAGCCATTCATTCCCATGTTGCTGTATGAGCAAAAACATATGAAACATAAACACGTGAAAGGTAATGACAAAAATATATAAAGAATGAATCAAAGCTTCTTAAACATTTTAAATGAGTTTGTTCATCCTGACCTGTGTGATGCTGCCTAACCTTAACTTCCTGTTTGCACTGACAGGATTTATTGACTTAATTCCTACTTTAGATCTTGATCGAACACTACCTGCCATCACCTCTCTAAAACGAGTCAATTAAAACCAAGAGAGGAGTTGTGTTCTTGATCTAAATAAAATTCAGGCTGTTGGTGTTAGATCTTTAATACTGATGACATAAGAGTCGTTACATATCAGTGCTGGTCATAAAATTAGAATATCACGATAAAGTTGATTCATTTCAGTAATTCCATTCAAAAAGTGAAACTTGTATATTATATTCATTTATTACACACAGACTGACATGTTTCAAATGTTTATTTCTTTTAATGTTGATGATTATAACTGACAACTAATGAAAATCCCTAATTCAGTATCTCAGAAAATTTGAATATTGTGAAAAGGCGCAATATTGAAGACACATGGTGCCACACTCTAATCAGCTAATTAACTCAAGACACCTGCAAAGACCTTTAAATGGTCTCTCAGTCTAGTTCTGTTGTCTACACTATCATGGTGAAGACTGCTGACTTGACACTTGTCCAAAAGACGACCATTGCCACCTTGCACAAGGAGGGCAAGACACAAAAGGTCATTGCTAAAGAGTCGGGCTGTTCACAGAGCTCTGTGTCCAAGCCCATTAATAGAAAGGCAAAGGGAAAGAAACAATGTAGTAGAAAAAATGTGTACAAGGCATAGGGATAACCGCACCCTGGAGAGGATTGTGAAACAAAACACATTCCAAAATGTGCGGGAGATTCACAAAGAGAAGACTGCAGCTCGAGTCAGTGCTTCAAGAACCACCACGCACAGACGTATGCAAGACATGGGTTTCAGCTGTCGCATTTCTTGTGTCAAGCCACTCTTGAACAAGAGATGGCGTCAGAAACGACTTGCCGGGCTAAAAACAAAAAAGACTGAACTGCTGCTGAGTGGTCCAAAGTTATGTTCTCTGATGAAAGTAAAATTAACATTGTTTATTTACAATGGGTGAAATTCAGCAATTGGCTGCAACACAGGTCCCTCTTGAAAATGAGTCTTTGTGACTCAATGAGACTAACCTAAATAAAGGTTGAATGAACCTGGCTGGAAGGGACTGGAACCCTGGAAAGAAAGGACAAGGGTTACTTGAAAGTCTAAGTCCTTGAAGATGATTCAAGATAGTTGTTCATATCTTACTGTTAGAGGAAATGGTCATCATATGAGGGTCCAGTAGTTCCAGTAGTCGTGAAGGAGGGAGTTCCAAGAAGGTTGCATATATCAGTGGGCGAGTGGTGGAAGGCAAGGAGCAGCTGAAGGCGTCACAAGGAAGTTTAGGATCAAACCAGGGAGGTCCAAGGCACAGGAGGAACACAGGAGTCAGTGCTGAAACACATGAGAAGGGAGTTTTAGTCTTTTCAAATCAGAAGGATGGTAAAGTGACTATGACATAACTACCGAATGGCAGATAATGCATCAGCGTCGAAGGGAAGTCATCAGCTTCCTTATTTACTCCTGCAGCTCATCAGGTGAATGGTCCACAGGTTGGCACCATCTAGTGCCTTGAAGCTGCAAGAGAAAAACTAAAACTCCTACAATGCATGTCGTCTGGACAGTTTCTTTTTTTGCGGAGACCTTTCATCCTTCACCCAAAGGACTTCTTCAATCTGAGGAGCCACCAACAAACTGAGTCCCACAAGCAGCACACTCCCATAGTGGAAAAAAAAGAACAGTTTTCTGGTGATAAGATGGCCTCCAGGACCTGCCCTCTCCCCGATCAACTCCTCAGGCAGCCATGACAAAGTGATTCAAAACACCAAAGTCCATGCTCAGTAATTCAGGTAGGAAATCCAACAACGTTCAGTCAGGTCATCTGGATGGTTTCTTTCTTTAATTTTTTTTGTTTTGGTGTTTTAAACCACTTTGTCTTGGCTGCCTCAGAGGAGTTGACAGGGGAGAGGGCGGGCCCCAGAAGCCATCTTATCACCAGCAAACTGTTCTTTTTCCCACTATGGGAGTGTGCTTCTTGTGGGACTCAGTTTGTTGGTGGCTCCTCTGATTAAAAAAGTCCTTTAGATGAAGGATGAAACATCTCAGCAAAAAAAGAAACCATCCAGATGACCTGACAGAACATTGTTGGATTTTTACCTGGATTACTGAGCATGTACTTTGGTCCGTCACAGATTTTTGTCAGTAGGAGCACATTTTAATTGACCGTTTGAACCGATGAGAGCCAAAGGTCAAAATGTGAAACTTTTCTATTTGGTTCTGTCTTCTTTTAGTTTTCAGAGCGACTTCTCCTCGAAAGACAAGACGTCTTTGGTCAAGAGTGTTTCAGATACAGATGCCAAACTTCTTGCCGTCCTTCCCAAGGGTGTGTGACGATAATAAAACAGAACAAACAAGTGTTTTATTGTGGCATTTTGATGACTGAAGCATTTTGTTTTGGTTTTTAGTGTCAGAACTGAAACAGTTATTTGAAAGAGGTGTAACCGAGGACTCTGGGATGAACAGGTTGGTTTAGATTCGACACGTGTAATTTTGGGGTTTTCCCCTGCTGACACTGAATTTTGTCTCGGATAGGAAGGAGAGGATAGCCCGGCGACTTGATGGGATTGAAAGTGAAGCACCGCCCGCTCTGGTGCCAGGAGGTTTTGTGTCTAACAGGATGCTGGAGGAGGATCCACCGCGGTACACCCGCGCCTCAGATCCCTGTGAGCCTCGAGTGACGGGTAAGCCTAAATATGTGATTTCTTGGTACAATTAAAAGCAGCTTGCACATTGCCAGACATTTTTTATGCTAATATTAGTAAATTAAGATTTTTAGGTTGTTTAATAAGAAGAAGGTCGTTTATGTAGCGAAATGACAAAGAAACAGCGTTTTGATCAAACATTGAAAAAACTGACATTACGCACAGTGTCATGTGATATTGTCAGATCTTGTGTGATCTTCTAAAACCTGAAGTATCTGTGAAATTCAATGAGTTAGCCATTTCAGGTTTTAGAAAGCGCCGGTTATCTTAGATTGGATTGAATTGAAACATTAATCGGTTGTAGATGCACAACCTATAAAGGCTTTCTGAAAGTTTTTCTTTTTAAACTGTTGAGTGATTTATGGGAGATTTTTCCAACAGACGCACAAAGTTAATACTATAGTTTAAAGCAAAGTTCTTGCACATTATATATATAATGCTCAGAGTATGTGTCTGGGATGACTACCACACTAACTTTAAGCTCAATATCTGTGAAATTAACTGAGTTGCAGCTACTTTTGTGTTTGCAAATGTCAGTTGTGGGGGGGCTAGCTTAAATCAAGTTGACCCCAAAAGCCAGTTAGTTGTAAATTTACTTGCGTTTATTACTTTCTGAGAGTTTCAGCAGAATTTATTTGATGGTTCAAGAGATATTTTGCTAACACTAAGGACAAACACAACTTATTATTGTTCACCTATTGCCTTTCAGCAGCAGATAACTCCTTAAAGTTGAATATTATTTAATTCTTCCACTGTTTACCACAGTGGGGCGCTACAGTCGAGACGACATGGAGCCACCACAGAAGAAAGTCCTGGTTCCCGGCAGATCACCTCACGTCAAAGGTGGTGTTGGCACCAGTCGTCCAGAGCCAGTTGTAGTCTACGTTGATCCAGTAACATTATCCACCACCTCGACGCCCACATCTGGCCCCGCAGAGTCCGCCAGCCTCACATCTAAGGCTGAACGCATCGCGCGCTATAAAGCTGAGCGCCGCCGCCAACTGTCAGAACGTTATGGCATCCTCCTGGATCAGGAGGTGGACACAGATTACACACCTCGCTACCGGTCCAAACGTGATGCAGACGCCTCCGAGCGACAAACCGCTGCCAGGCGAGACAAAGACAGAACAGAAACACAAGGACAGGACCCCAGGGTGCCTTACCGCTCTGGAGTGGGCAGGGTTTACATGACGACACACCCAGATCCTACACCTGCTGACACAGTGAGTCCCGCCCACTCAAATCAAGCCCCTCCCACAGCTCCAGAAAGACCTAGCAGATTCTCCGAGCGGGAGAGAGCAATGAACATGGAGAACTATCGCCGAGGAGGAGCTCAGGAGCGCTCAGTCACATCTAGAGCTCGGATGCAGGAGCAGCATCAGCATCAGCCCCAACAGAAACAGCACACGCCCCACCAGGATCCAAGCCCCGCCTCCACCAGCGACTACAGCATAGCCACAGTGCCAAGCTCTCCACGCACCGCCCGACGAGCATCTCTACCTTCCACACGCTATGGCATCTCACCAGGAGATCTGTTCATAGAGCAGCAGGCCCAGAGCATCCTCAACAGGCAGGGGTGAGTGTGTAAAATCTGCACCGGAACACTTTCAAACATACGAAAACAGCATTTATTAAGTTTTTTTATTTTTTATTTTTACTGTCCATATAGGTATTCCTTATAAAACTAACGAAGCACGTTACAAAACCCTTGTGTTTGTATTTTCAACACCAATTCCAATAAAACTTGGTCTAAACTATATTAAAAGAATGCAACGACTTGCAAAGCTCACAAATCCAGATTTCATTCACAATGGAACATAGTAAACACATCCAATGGTGAAACTAAGAATTTGTACAATTTTGGGGGTAAAAATAATAACAACATTTTATTTGAAGGCAACATGAGCAAAAAAGTTGGTCCAGCTCCACGTTCACCACGGTGAACCATCCCCTCTTAATTATTTTAACAACTGTTCATAAAATTCTAGAATTGCACCACTCAAGTTGGCTGCATGTTGAAGTAGCTACACATTTCCTAAGATTTTGCTTTTGAAAACTTTAATTACTCTTTTTTTCTGGATGTAAATCACTTTTTTTAATGATTGTTTCCTCTGGTATCGGTTGTTGTGCAGCTGGAAGGATTTTAACTGAAACCTTTTTACTTTTGGACATTTGTTATGAAGCGTAACCATAGCAACAAAGTGGTTATCTACAACGGGGAGCTGATGATTAACATCTCAACAGCTCAAATAATACCTCAATTGCAGCTCCAAATCTCAAACGAGATTTAAAAAAAAAAAAAAAAGTGCCGTGGATGCATTCCCATCTACCTGGAGACGGTGCTCGAGTTCCTGACCGCCGAGATCTTGGAGGTAGCAGGAAATGCGGCTCGTGACAGCGGGAGGACCGAGATCTTCCCCCGGCACCTGCAGTGATGAGGCAACTGCTGGGAGAAATGGCCATCTCTCTGGGAGGAGTTCTGCCCGGCATTCAGGCAGTCCTGCTGCCCAAGAGGACCAAGATGTCTACTGGGTCTGGGTGCACATCTGCTGTGGGACGGACCGCTACAAGAGATCCTTCCTGCCCACATCCATCAGCATCTATACCATCTCTTAGTAAAACCAGGATGATGAGCTACAACAACAATTAATTTCCCTTTGGGATTAATAAAGTATTTTTGAATTGGATTGAATTGTCCCTCTCCAGTTTATTTCAGAGGACATGACGCTCAGGCTTTCCTAAAAGAATCTAAAACTTTGACTTATGTGATCACAGAACAGTTTTGTACATATTCTCCGTTCATTTTTTTATGAGCTCTGGTCCTGAGAAGACAATGGTGTTCACAAGTGGCTTGTTTTCTGCCTGATAGAGCTTTAATCAGCATGGTGAACTGTGTTTACAGACAGTGATTTGTGGAGGTGTTCCTGAGCCCATGCAGTGATGCCCAGTTCAATTTAACCTCTTTTCATCGCAGCCTTGTGCTTTGAGCTCAGATTCCTCCAGATTCTTGAAATTTTTTGGAGATATTGTGAACTGTCTGTAGATGATGAGATATTTAAAGTCTTCCTAGTTTTCTACTGAGAAACAATAATCTGAAATTGTTCCACTATTTTTAGATGCAGTTTTTCACAGCCTGATGAACCTCTGCTCATTTTTACTTCTCAGAGATTTTGCCTCTCTAAAATGCTCTTTTTACACCCAGTCTTATTCGTGGCACTTCTTCAGCCGTTTGTTGCCCAGTTTCAACTTGTTTGAGCTCTGTTGCTGCCCAGAAATGTTAAGACACCTTGATGCTTTAAATCTTTTTTTTACAATTTTTTTTTCCATAAAACCTTTGAAGTGTTTAATGCGTTCCACTGCAAATGGGTTTCTGAAATGTGCAGCTCATTAAATTAAGTTTTTATTCACGTTTTACACAATGTCACGTCTTTTTCAGGCCCTTTCTTCTCTTTTTGCTGTACGTGTTTCCTGTTGTGTCTTACAAAGAAACATTTGTTCTGTTCAAATTCTATATTTGTATTCAAAGAGAATTCCAATCGAACTTGCTTTCAGGACATTCACATGTCTTTTTTTAAATTTCTTCCAAAGTTTGAAGCATAAAATAATTGGCAATTTTATCGTGGAATAAGTAGGAGTTGTAAAATTATACCAGTTTCCCTAACGACTTGTTTCACCCAATCCTTGGACTTTTATCTTGTTGCTTTAATCTCCACAATCCTGAGACTTTTTCAGACTGATCTTTGTTTTTGTTGTCCTCCAGCTTCACAGAAATCCACTGTAAGAAGCTCATTAGGGAAAAGGTTAAGTTCTTAGATAGTGAGGTTAGAATAAGACATTATCTCCATTTGATGCAGGTAATATTACTGATTTATAAGCAGCTGGGTTATTACCTAAATTCTTATTATTTTGTTACAGCATTGACAGTACATAAGCTGAGATAATCAATAACCTTGTCAGATTGATTAAAACAAAGGATTATGAGTTGATGCTGGTGAATCAGAATTAAGTATAACACTGAATTGCAATCTAAACTCTGCTAATAATCCAGACTAAAAAATTAAAGATTTAAGCTGTATTTCAGAAAAGTTGCACAAACAAGCCAACATGTCTGTGGTGAGATGTGATAAGTTTCCCTCGGGGTCTCACCTTGTCGCCCTGTAGCCTGGCCGCCTTGTCCAAGAGCGACTGGAGTCTTCACGCAGACTCAGACAGTGACTCTCACCGCCCTGTCAGGTACTATCATCACCCATCAGTGACCCGCGGTCCACTGGGCACGTGTGTTTAAAACTGGGAACAGTTGGTCCTCGTACAAAAATCTCACAAAACTGGAAAAAAAAAAAAAAAAAGAGGTTCTATTGGAGACTATTTTTTAAACCTGCACTGTTTTGAGTCACAGTCAATTCTTCAGTGTCGTTCTACAAACCCAAACATTTTATGAACATGTTCCTGGTGGACAAGCAGCTAATTCTTCCTAATAAATATGTTTCATAAATATTTACTGTCACATTTTATTCATTAGTTGTAGAGCCCCATTTAACTGTGTGCTGTGCACATTTTAATCTCTGAACTCACAAACTTTCATTTCCATCTTTGTCAAATATCTGACACTTTTTCAATCTAAAATTTAACACATTACATTTTTTGTACTCCAACACTGAGGTGCCTCGATGTTGGAGTTTTTCCTAGTCCGGGTTTTTTTAAAGTCGGGGCCGTGGCCCCCTGGGGGGGGGGGCGCCGGTGGGGCCCAGAAAGCTGGAGAGAAGAAGATTTGAAAAAAGCAAAAATAAAAAATAGTAATAATAATTATAAAAATTGCCCACTAGGGTAATCTGTATCTGACATTTCCAAATAAAAACACTTCAAAAAGGTTAGATTTCTTTTGTTTTGTTCTTCTGGTCAACAGTTTGTTGAAAAGTTGTTGTTTTCAGTGGGAACAGTGTTTAAAATGTTAGTTAATAACATTTTTATGCTCAGCAGCTGTAATAATTAATTGAATATAGTGAATAAAAGTTAAAACATTCTAAAAGTTGATGTTTCTTTACATATTTTGTAGCATTGTTTGTGGGTTTGCGAGGTGGGGGCTCGGCCAGAAGCTAATGCTGTTTGGGGGGCCATGGCATGAGAACATTTGGGAACCCCTGAACTAGTGAACAAGAGGGTTGCCTCTGAGGCTTCGGGCTGCAGGAGGGAAGGTTCTGACTGTTGTTTGTGCTTGTGCACCAAACGTCAGTTCATACCTGACCTTTGGAGACTCTGGAAGGGGTGCCTAATGGGTGTTCCCTCGTTGTGCTGCGTGACTTCAATGACCATGTGGACAATAATGGAGTTATGTGGAGAGGGGTGATTGGAAGGAACGTCTTCCCTGATCTGAACCCAGATGGTGTTTGCATATTGGACTTCTGTGCTAGGCATGGGTAGTCCATAATGACTACCATGGTTGAGCATAAGGTGGTTTATAAGCGTACGTTGTACCAGGTCACCTTAGGCCAAAGGTCGATGATTGATTTTGTAATTGTGTCATTGGTTCTGCCGCCCTATGTCTTGGACACAACGGTGAAGAGAGATGCAGAGCTGTCAACTGACCACCACCTGGTGGTAAGTTGGATCCAGTGGCGGGGGAGGTTGCCTGATAGATCTTGTAAACCCAAATTTATAGTGAAGGTGAACTGGGAACATCTGGTGGAACCCCATGTCTGTGCAACCATCATCTCATACCTCCGGGAAAGTTTTTCATGTGTACCGGGGGTCATGGAATCTGAATGGGCCGTGTTCAAGGCCTCTATTGCAGATAAAACTTACAGAAGCTGTGGCCTGAAGGTCTTCAGTGCCTGTCACGGCTGCAACCAAAGGACCTGCTGGTGGACACCAGTGGTAATGGAGGCTGTTGAATTAAAGAAGGAGGCCTTCAGGACTTGGCTGTCCCGGAGGACTCCTGATGCAGCTGAAAGTTGCAGGGTGGGCAGAACAATGGTAGTTTAGGTTGTGAATGCAAAAGCTTGGTGTTTAAAACAGCTGAAAGGTTTTAGAGTTGATAGGGTGACAACATTACTCGGCTCCAGACCCAAACCGGGGCAGTTGTCAACCCACTCAGCACTTGTTAGCAAAGCTACACTCACATGGCCCTCTTTTCTAATCCTGCCCATTAGTCCCAGAGTAAATGACATCAGTGTTTTTTATCTTATCATTTAACAATGTTGCTGCACAGAGCAAACACTTACAACTCAACTCAGTTCATTTATTAAGTTTCAATTCACACACGTCATCTATGAAAAGTGATAAGGGTCAAATTCTGATAGCTGAACCCTGATTCTGTCAGGTTTGGTAGTACGTCAGAACCCCAAGACACAGACTGAATCCAGAAGCTTGAAAGAATGACTTGAATTTATTAATCATGAAAGGAAAAACAAAACACTGATATGGCAACAAAAACTTAGAAGAAACTCGAGGAGAATAAGGAGTACTGGACTGGTGGCATAGAAACCACTGCTGGAGATGGAAAGAGACTGGATATACAGAGCTTAGCTGATGTGGTATTGGAGAGACAGGAACTAATTACAGACTGGGAACAGGTGAGAGAAAGCTCTGATGTGGTGAGAACAACAGAACTGAACCCTAGTATCCAAAGACAGAAGAAAAAAAACATAACCAAAAGGGAAAAATCAAAGTACAAGTGACTAAAAAATATACAGTATATATAAATCCCAACTGATTCAAGACAATTACTGACAGTTCATTAAATATTTAGCAAATTAAGACTTATGTAATACAACTTTTCTAGACAGCAAATCCAATAAATTACATAAAATCATCAATATTACTGCAAAACCGGTATCAGGACAGAAAATATTCTTCTGTCAACAACAAGAGACCCCAACAGAGACAGAAACAAGGACAGCCAGATGAGCCTTGAAAAACTGTGTGACAACGAACAAAGACAAAAAACACATTAAAGAGCTTTAATAAATGTTTATAAACCATCTAGTATAATCTTGTAATTAAACGAGCATAGTTGAATAAATGGGTTAAATTAATTGGCAATATCAACGTCAAAGTTTCTTTATTTGTCATTCGCACCACATGTGGTACATGTGGTGGAACAAAATTGTGTACACAGGGTCCCAATTACATCCAACAAAAGTATAAATTGTAAAGAAACACAGTAGTAAGATCTAAGATATGAACTAAGAAATACGCTAAACTAAGAATATGCTAAACACTAGTAGTACAAACATAATATGCCGATCAACAGCAGCACAAACATGAGTTGTGAGTATGTATGCTCAAACTAGAAAGTCCCTGGAGAAACTTTGATGGGACTGCCAGGCTGCTGATGTAAAATTATGATTTGACAGTACTATTTGTTAGGGTTTGCTCTCAGCTACCACTATAACACATTTGAGCTGAATAGCTCCAAAAATGGCAGAGTTATCATAATTTTTCCCTTTTAGCTAAGACGGCCATCTTGGATTTTTAATTTGGATTCCGTATGTGATAGGGAGCGTTCTCAGCTACAACCTCACCAAATTTCATCTCTATATCTCAAAGAATAACCAAGTTACAGTCAGTTTTTGAGTTTGCTGAAGTAGCTGTGGCAGCCATCTTGAATCAAAATGGCTCCAAACTTGAATCAGTTCTAGACGTGTATCTGATGATTACTTCCTGTAAGTTTCAAACAAATCCAACAGTGAGTTTCTGTTTTATTCAGGGACCTCTACACGCTATGTCACGTGACTTCACAGCTGTTCTCCCATTCATTTCCTAAGGGGAAATATGGCATCTTTGTTAGCAAAATACATCGCCATGGTAACTCGAAACACCAATAAAAGTAAAAGCACACATCACGGCGCCGAGCCGGTCGGTTTGATATATTTGTGAGGTACGCGTTGCGGTTTGGGCCGCATTAAAGTTGATGGAAGAGTGTATAAGATATAAGTTAAGGAACCCAAGTTGGGTGGATAATAATCGGTGTTTGCATATTCTATGCAGTCCCCAATAATAACAATTCCTTAAGTTTTACAGTAAATTGTTTCATCTGAACAACTCATCAAAAAAAAAGAAGCCTTTTCGCAGAAAATAAACTTTACACCGCTTCATCAGTTTAATATTTAAGGAGTTAACGTAATATTCCCACCAGCTGTAAGTTTTCATTGTGGTCTTATCAGTGGATTTTTCTAGCGTGAAGCATGAGTGCTGTTTAGGAACTCCTTACCATTTCAGAGAAAGCCAGTGTCCATCAACTTTGCCTGGCTTAGCGGTATATAATGAGATTAGAGCGGCCTTTGACTAGAGGTTATGAGGTTAGAGATGAAAATACTTGGACTTACTCAAACTTGAAGCTCGTGGCATGCGGCTTCTTGAGCTTGCTGTACTGGAGCAGGATTTAGGAGCTGAAGTCAGTCCCATGAGGGTCTAACGTTGCACTTTCCTTTCATTTGTTTCATAACGTGCAGTAGGATTTAGTGAGATTTTAATTACGCACAGTTAAAACTGAAATTTTGAACATTCTTAGTTGCATATTTGAGCTCTGGTGTTAATGTTGTTTTCCCTGACTTGTCAGATAAAAACAGCACTGAGGTAATGTTTGGATGTAGCCTTTTAACTCTAAAGTCCTTGTTCCTACATGGGCAAAATAAGGTCCAAGGGCCAAAATAGGCTGAGAAACCATCTCCATCCATCTGTCTTAAAGGAAAACAAATTGTCTTGAAAACATACATACAGGAGGATATATATAAAGATATATACATATATATATATATATATATATA